TAAAATTTAAGTGCTAAGGGAATTTGAAGGCTTTATTTAAAGGTCATATCTGTTTTAATATATCACATTCAGTTGTTACCATTTTAACTATAGAGCAATTGTTGCTCTGTAGATTCCTAATGATAGGAAATACAGAAGAATAGTAGGAAAATGTTACAGATTTTATTTTCCCTTGTAGAGGATTTGTATTTAGAGACTGTTTCTTGGTTTACTTATCGTAGACCCTTCACAGGTTAGGGGAGAGTATTTTCTCATACTCTTCTTGATAGCCTGTCAGAACTTCAGAATATACTGATACAGTTTGGAGCTGATTTTGTCTACCAGCTTTATCCTGTGGATTTTATTCTGCCTATAAAGATAGGGTCTACCATCTGTTTCCCTAGAGCAGTGCTTAATACATGGGGGTATCCTTTATATCTACAGTAGTCTTCCCTTATCCAAGACCCCCAGTGGATGCCTGAAACTGCAGATAGTACAGAACCCTATATATACTATGTTTTTTCCTATACACACATGCCTATGATAAAGATTAATTTATAAATTAGGCACAATAAGAGATTAACAACAGTAACTAATAATAAAATAAAACAATTAGTATACTGTCATCACTACTCTTGTGCTTTGGTGCCATTTTTAAGAAAAATGAGGGTTACTGGAACACAAGCACTGTGATATCGTGACAGTCGATCTGATAACCCAGATCCCAGATGGCTACTTGAGTGACTAAGGGCAGGGAGCTGCTGGACAAAGGAATGATTTATGTCCCGGGTGGGATGGAGCAGGATAGAGTGGGACAGCTTGAGATTTCATGAGACTACTCAGAACAGTGTGCAATTTAAAACTTACTGTTTATTTCTGAAATTTTCCATTGATATTTTCTGACTGCAGTTGACTGCAGGTAAATGAAATTATGGAAAGTGAAACCTTGGATGGGGGGGACTACTGTATAAATAACTAAACATTTAAAAAATTCAAGGTTGCTTGACTTACCTGAGTGTCAGGACTTACGCTACCAAGGCCATATTGTAAAGTTTAAACTTTTCCCACCTTTACTCTTCTTTCCTCTCTTCATGGCCATTGTTTTCACAAACATTTTTGTCAATCAAATTTGAGCAAGTTAGGACCAGTGCTGCTTATATTTGTTATTTCCCTTTTCTCTGAATGGCCTATTTAGTGGAATACAATTCCTTCCTCGTGTTACTAATTTTGTTTTGTAGATTTATAAAGTTGATTTTGACCTATGGTTTATTTTTCTTTTTCCCCTTAGGTAGGTCTTTATTTTAAGCACAATACTTATACTGTTGATGAAAATTTGTATTATTGAAACAATTGACACTTGTGTTGTCTGGCCCAGTATTTGTTGTATACAAAGCCTAATGCTAAGGATAGATGAGGTTTTGTGGTCCATGACAAAGATAGAAACTCAGATTATTAATTCCTAACTGCCATGTATTGTTTTAACCTTGGCTAGTTTGAAGAGTGTCCATATGTCATCTTAGTATGTATTATAAACAAGCATTCCTAAAGATTTGTTTCCTAAAGACGTTGAATTAAAAATTAATCCTGAAAAAAGATCATGAACATTGCTGTTTATTAGAATAGTGACCCTGCCATTTAGCAATAACATAGACACAAATTTACAAATCACTTGTCCTGTTAATTTTCAAATTGTGTGAATCTGGATGAATTTTTAATTTTGGAAAATTTATATCATTGCAAAATTTGGGTGTAAATTGAGACTTTATTTCTTTTTAAAAATGTGCAGATTAAGAAAAATGCAGTAAAATATGTCTGAACTCTGCATATTTGGTAAAATGCATTTCAAGCTGGAATTTGGGAAATAAGACTATTATCCAGGGCTGATATTAACCATATGTGAATATTGGTAATTAAAATGTTGAAAAGCTTTCTTGCAGTTGATAAACTGAGTAGAATAGGATCTGTTGTGCTTTAGAAGAACTGCTAGTTTATCGTTATCTATGAATTGTGTTACTACATCTCAATAGTTTTTGTTTTTTGATAATGTGCTCTTTTGTAATCAGTAATTACTTTGGTTTTATTTTTGTGCATATTTTTATGTAATTAGTCATACTGTGGAGAGTTTTGGTATTGCTAAATTTAATAACTTATAATAAAATGTTAAATAGAACACCAAGAATGGAGAGATAACAAAGTTTTAATACATTTCTTAACATTCCTTTTAAACATCATAAACATGAATCTTCTGAATCTGCAGGAGAACAAAGAAGAAATGATATTAATAATGAACTGCAGCTTGGAACATCTTCTGATACTGTGCAACAATGAATACAAAATAAAACAAATAATTTGTATTTATGGAATGGAAAACAGCTTGATTATTTCGAGAAAAAATATGACTGCCTTATTATTGCTAGTGCCATATTGTCAGGTGCGAATGGTGCTCAAAAGTTGTATCATTAAAATTTGAAAGTGCTAAACATTTACATATTTAATCATGTAGCAATTATGTTTTGTTAAAGTTTATGGCTCAAGTAAGGAAAATGTGTTGTCATCAATGAGGGAAAAAACTGAGTCAGTTTCACATAATGAAGCATTTAAAATTTAAAAATTATAATTTTATCAAGTGTATTAATAAAAATATTTAGAATGTATTATCAAAATTTTTAATACCACCTGCTTCTTAAATTTAAAATAATTGATCATTTTCAATGACAAAATAGGAGGGCATAAAAACATATCAATATGACGTGCTGCAGTTATGGTGAAATAAGAAAATAGCATTTTGCTAAATTTATGAAACAAGGCAGTAAAATTTTAATCACTGTTGATAAAATTTCATTTATTTCATGTAAGAGTTTTAATATTCTACTTAAAATGTAAAATGCAGGAGTACTTTGGTAGTTTAGTTTTTTATTAGAAAGAATATTACAACATCTGAAATACTATATCAAACTTCACTGTTAATTATTTGAGGAAAAAATGGTTTCAGTGAGAGATATTTACATTAATACCTTATTGTATTTTGTATTGACTGCACCCATGTAATGCTTGGAAAAGACAATCTAGAGTTTCAACCAAAATTTTAGAAAAATTTCTAGGTATTTTATATATTTATGACGTTGTATAAGTCACCATATTCAATTATCCATGGATGAAGTATCAAAAGATATAGATCAAATAAATCTCTTAAATCTTTTCTAAATAGACTTTATATTTACTGGAACACATGAAATCATCAAAGAGAATTACAGTACAACTGAAGAGCTGGAAGGAATCGAAATAATTATAAAATAGTGAGTCTTTGGACCTTGATGGGCATGCTCTAGTGATAGAGCTGCAAAAACCAGAAAATCGTATCAAGCCCCTATATTTATATTAGTTGAAATTATGAAACAGGAATAGTTTGAACATTTAGAAAATGAGCGCTTTCTAGTGATTTGGCTTCAGTACACAATATTTCAACAGAGCTGTCAATACTTAGCTTTATAAAAAAAGTTTGTTATTAATACAGATGGAGTGATACAACAAACATTAAAAGTGATTGAACATATAAAACTGAAAAACTATAAAAAAGTAGAAGCTGTTAAAAAAATGAAGAAAAATGTTA